ATATCTCGTCGGTGTTTTCGATAATAAAATAATAACTGGATGAAGTAAAATAACCGTATGAATTAAATAATTCGTGTAATTATCTTCGATCCAATCAAACGGCCGGTAATGTCAACATTCTTCAATTACCTCCGGGCCCACCGGGCCCACTTGATGGTCACAAAAGTTTACCCAGGGCTGACGGTCTTTAATAATATCTCGTCAGTGGTACAGGGTATCGATATGTAACTTTTCTCCTAGGGCGGAAAAGTGAAAAATTTTGCCATTGATTTCAATGCTAATATTTTTCACTTTTCACGTTTCCGCCCTAGGGAAAAAGTTACATGATCGGTACCCTGAGAGCGATTAATGACGTCATTGCAGCGTCTCTGCCAATAAAAGGCCTACATGAAGCTAGCCGGAAGAAATTATTAAATATGATAATTTTTAATTTTTCTGAATGTATTTTGTTTGTAAATCGTTTGTGATTGATTGTGAGTCTGTTTTTAACGTTTGTGACAAATTAGGTTTTTTGTAATTAGCAATTATAGTTTGGTCATGATGTTAGCCGGAACTTTTTAGTAACAAACAGATTTTGTTATAACTGATAACTGTAATTGATAGGAAATCGTTTGTGATTTACAAATATACCAATGTTACAACCAATGTTTGTGAATTGATAAATTTTTTAATTACATGCAAAATAAGTTTTTTTATAATTGTAATGCGCATGCGCAAAGTATACTCAGGGCTCTTGCCTATAAAGTTAAGGTGCTTACATGGCAGCATTAAGCGTCGAGCGTCTGCGCAGAAAAATGCGCAGAATTTAAAAGAGATAGATTCTAGGCTGAAATTAGATTCTGCGCAATTTTCTACGCAGACACTCGACGCTTAACGCTGCCATGTAAAGGTACCTTTATATAAAAGAAGGTTAAGTCATATATTGAAATTGTGTATGTCATCCAAGAACCCATGATGCATTGCGAAAGGCTGCGAGAGCCAATAACAAGTCTACCTTATTTGGCATCTCTTTTCAATATTTAGCATCTCGTTTTAATAGCGACTGCTTACACGTCGATTCTTTGCAATGCATTATGGGTTTCTGGATGCTCGTAATTTAACCTTCTTATATATAACCTTACCTGCCCACTGTGACGTCCCATCATTTTTCAAAACCATATTTCAACTAATAATTAAGTACCGCATGTATTACTGCATTATGCCTATGGAATATAGAACAATTATTTAACCATTTGCCCTTATTTCCATTATTAATCAATTTGTAGCGGGTAACGAGTTATACACGTTGCGTATTAACAGTAACAATACTTTATTTGTAATTAATTACAACGAATCGAGGTAGGATATTCTTTTGTATCAGTCTAACAATTCTTTGGTATATGCGATACTGCACCAGACAAAAGGGAGACGATCTGTACAGTATACTGTCCCGAAGAAGAAGGAGCTCACTAGAGTGGTCTCTCGCGTTCTCTGGAATCGGACGGAGGTGTCGCCTCCATGTGGCGCTAGTGTTTATCCCTAGGGGCCATAACATCTCGCCACATCACTCCCCCCGAGTGTTTTGCTGCGCGCGAGTAAATTGCATGTGTTTTTCCGGTTTACCGGAGTAAACGGGTTCTTCGAGTGATATGTCTTCTGTAGTAGGTAATGGAGAGCCGTCTGGAGGTAGGTGTGCCGGTTTTAATCTTTCAGTGGATATGTTGACGTCTCTGCCGTTGATCCGTACGGTGAATACTCTGTCGTCGATTTTTGTGATCACCTCGTGTGGTCCTGAGTATACAGGTTGTAGCGGCCTTTTTACAGTGTCATCTCGGACGAAAACGTGGGATGATTCCATCAGTTGGCGATGCATGAAGGATGTGCGTTTCCCATGGTGGGCCGTGGGTTGTGGCCTGATTAGGCGCATGCGGTTACGGAGTTCCTGTACAAAAATATCTGGTTCTTGTGTAAAGGTTCCGTTTTCGAAAAACTCACCGGGAAGTCTTAATGGAGTGTCGTAGACCAGTTCGGCTGTTAAACATTTAAGGTCTTCCTTGTAGCATGTGCGGAGGCCGAGAAGGACGTCTGGTAGTAGGTCCACCCATCTGTGGCTGTGTTCCTTGCAGGTGATTGCAGTCTTCAAGGATCTGTGCCATCTCTCTACCAGCCCGTTTGATGCGGGGTGGTAAGGAGATGTTCGCGTTTTGTTTGCTAAGTATTTAGTAAGAGCCTGGAAAATGGCAGATTCAAATTGTCGGCCTTGATTTGTGGTTATTATGGCCGGTGTTCCGTAACGCGCTACCCAGGTATCGTGAAAAGCTTTAGCAACGGTGTCCGCTGTGATTTCCTTTAAAGGAATAGCTTCGGACCATCTGGAAAACCTGTCGATCATAGTGAGGCAGTATTTATAACCTCTTACCTCTGGTAGAGGTCCGACAATGTCTAGGTGTATCTGGTAAAAACGTTGATTTGGTGTAGGAATTTTCTTGGGGATGTTTCTTGTATGGCGCTGGATTTTAGTACGCTGGCACGGGAGGCAGGTTCGAGTCCAGTGTGTTATGTCTTTGTTGATCCCGGGCCACACAAACTTTTGCTTAATTTGATGGCTTGTCGATCTTGCGCTTGGGTGTGATAACCCGTTTACGACGTCAAAAATTCTTTTCCTTAGAGTCTTGGGGACGTAAGGGTGGATGGTGCCTCTAGAACAATCGCAGAAAAGGGGTGACGTAGATCCAGGTAAGTTGAACTCTTGGAGCTGCAATTGTTGTGTTTCCTTCTAATATGGTGCGGAGTTCATCGTCGTTGCTCTGCTTGGTGGCTAATTCTTCTGTCGTCACGATGACCGGAGTTTCAATTGCGTCTATACGAGATAATGTGTCCGCGATTGCGTTTTTTTTTCACCTGGAACATGTTTAATGTTGGTTGTAAACTGTGCAATCAAGTCCAGCTGTCTCGCTTGTCGTGGTAAAGCTTCCCTGCCAAAAATGGTCGATTAAAACCGATTAAAACATAATCCCTTTTAATCGGTTTTAATCGGTTCAATCCGCGCCCGGATTAAAAAGTAATCGATTTTAATTCCGAACGAACTATAATCGGTTTTAATATCACTTTCGCGGATTATTTCCAATCTAAAATCATTACATTCTAATCCATATTGTTCAATCCAAATAAACACGAATAATCGAATAGATATATATGGTGGCTGCCGTAGGTCGTCACATTAAGCACAATCCGCAATACAATAGTGCGACCCGCAACTTGGCAGCCCACGCGCTCGCGCGTCCGCGCGTAGTTCCGGGCGACGCCACTACGCGGCGTAGGTCGAGCGAGCCAACCTGGAAGTAGAAAGCGGTCAAGCGGAGATATAAGGCGGACCCTCTGCGGAGAAATCGTATATTTGTTTTTAACAACTGAGTCCGTTTCAATTGTAGAAACACCGATTCAATAATTGATTGTGACTCATGATAAAAGCAAATCCGACTTCACACCAATGATGCAAACTCTGCGGTTTCTGCCCGCTACTAGCGCATGTGGAGGGGATAGCGCACA